TAGTTTTGTTTGAAATGTCTGTCCGTCTGTCCGTTCGTCCGTTTAGATCTCGTAAACTAGAAAAGATAGTGAAAATCCGACATCACAATATTCATCCTAATTCAACCTGCGGGCCAATTTTATTTCCGACACTCGTGTTGCGGCCACGTGACAGAAAAGGTAAAAACAAAAACAAACGAAAAGATAATGACCTAAAACAATTTTTACAGAAACATGTGGATCTAGTATTTACTACTTACATTAATTAATGGCATATCTGAAAGACATCTTTTTTTTTTTACGCGTCAGAAAATGGCTTAATTTCTCTTCTTAAAATGTGAGCAAAATTATAGCTATCTAACAAGCAACTCATTTTCTTGTCTCTATTTGGTAAATATTCCCATCCTCCAATTTCTTGGTGTAGTTTAAAAATATTTTTTATATTGCTGCTCAAAGCAAGAATGTCGTCATATTTGTTTTATAATGCCGTTTATATGTTGTTTTTTGAAAAAAAAGCCACACTTTCTTTCCAATCCAATAAGTTGACTAATCATCATGTTAAATAAAAAATAAAATAAAGATCTGTTCATTTTTCCTGGTAGATTCTAAATTCCACTTTTAGTTTCTTCAACTCATCCATTTCATAAACGTACAAAGTTAAAGGTCATGGTACCAATCCATCAGAGTGCCCTAACGTAGGTAAGATACATTTTTCAACATTTTTATTTTGGAAGGGGGTGGGGGGGAATTTTTTTTTTACCTTATGTGCCGACGTTTCGGTGGGCCGGATGGAACCACGTCGCGGGCCGGATCTGGCTCGCGGGCCATATTTTGGGCATCACTGTTTTAAACAATTCAAAGTTCTGATGCAACGGCTATTTTTTTTTCTGAAAGCGAAAAATCTAATTTTTAAAATCACTTATGCAAGCAGTTTGTTAAAGGAAAAAAGCTATTTAGTATGCATTACAAGTTAGACATAATTTAAAACGAATCAAAATCTTGTAAACTGCATTTATCAATCATAAATGACCAATCACACCTCATACACTCTATATTTGAGGATTCGATTTAGAGATTGAACCTTTTCAAAACAATTACATCAATTGTAAGACTTCAGTTAGGCCAGGGGAGGCGCAGTAGCTGAGCGCAAAGCGCTTGGCTTCCGAACGGGGGTACCGGGTTCCAATCCTGTGGAAGACTGCGATTTTCAACTTCGGAATCCTTGGGCGCCTCTAAGTCCGCCCAGCTCCAATGGGCACCTGACATAAGTTGGGGAAAAGTAAAGGCAGATGGTCGTTGTGCTGGCCACACAAAACCCTCGTTAACCGTAGGCCACAAAAACAGATGAACTTTACATCATCTGCCCTATAGACCACAAGGTCTGAAAGGGAAACTAGTTAGGCAAGGTTCACATCTAACTTTGCATTCACTTGCACCTATCCCTTGATCGGCTGGACCGTTGGGGCACTACACAAGATCTGTCAACCTTCTTTCTCCATTCCTATCTCTCATTTGTCTTTGATATAATTTCATTCAGATTTTCTTTCTGAAAATATTGAAGCCTGCCTGGGTGGACCACTTTGAGTTTGTGTTTCCACGCAAACTGTCCTTGTAACCTTGTTTTATAGTTATAATGTTTTGTTGGGTGTAATGCACAAATTGTAAGACAAATTTTCTTACGGACAATAAAGATTATTATTATTATTATTTTTATTATCATTATTATTTTTATTATTATTATGCTAGAAAGGAACGAGCATTCACTCTCTGGCGCTCCCAGGGTCGAGTTTTGTTAAAGGGAAACAAAATTCATAGTAGTCCCTTTATCAATTTCCACTGAGGAATTTTCTGGTGATGTGGCAGGTCTGCAGTAGTACCGCCCTCTGACAGGCAACGAGAAGGTACTACTGCAGAAGGTATCTATGAGGTTGGTTGTTATATCCCCTCGGTTGATATGACAATTGGGTATATTGTTGTTTTAGATCATCTCCATAGACCCTTCATCTCCATAGACCCTTCATCCCCATAGACCCTTCATCTCCATAGACCCTTCATCTCCATAGACCCTTCATCCCCATAGACCCTTCATCTCCATAGACCCTTCATCTCCATAGACCCTTCATCCCCATAGACCCTTCATCTCCATAGACCCTTCATCCCCATAGACCCTTCATCTCCATAGACCCTTCATCTCCAAGCCAAAAGGTTCCCATATATTCGTCGTTTTTTTTCCTATCTCAGTTGTTCTTCAATTATGAGACAGTGGTACGGCGATATCAATAATGGAAGCGGCTTTTTCTTTTTATCGGTGAGAAGCAAGGTGATTAAAATCTACCGTTTTGTGGGTCAAGATAGGCCTGCCCCAGTACAGCAAATGATCAGTAGACTCGAGAACCTCTTGTGGTGAGTATTTGTGACAGGGACGATCAAATTATGAGTCGAAGCCAAGTGTTGGTGTTATGGCGACCTAGGTAGGCAGATTCCGATAGTGCTGAACATCCTGCCATTATGTGTTCAATTGACTCACCCACATTTCCACATTTTCGGCATTTGTCAACAATATTGAATTTTAAGATATGTTTCTTGTAATTTTTTGTCCTGTCTACTCTGTCCTGTATTGCTGTAACAATGCCTTCAGTTACAGGGCAGAGACGACCTGCTTTGAGCCATGCTAAGCAAGCAGCCTTGTCAATGTTGTCCCCATCTAATAAAGCCGGGAATTTTCCGAGGAGTGTTTTTTCTTCCCACCAGTTGACCGGCGGCGTAGCGTACACCGCTTTTTGCAGGGCAGACCTTAGGCCACTGCAACCTATGCGACTGCAGTGGGCCCCGCACTTTTATAGGACCAGCGCTAGTTATAGGTGTATAAATCATTACATTAAAACATTTTATAACTTATAACAGTCTTCCCGCGGCCTCCTGTCGATTTAACAGGAGGTCCTGGAAATCTCCTGAAATTGCAATAATATACGAAAAAGTCCTGGAAATATCCGGAAATTTTAAAAATCTTTTGAAAACTTATACAAATCTCCAGAAATATATAGACGAAAATTGTCATTTTGGGGTGTCATTCAATATGGAAAATGCCAGTCCTAAGCGCGATAAAAAAAAAACGGCATTATGCAATACCAGCAATAGTGGAATTTAGTGAAAGAAGCTGCTCGCGCCTTAGACTAAAGGAGAATTATTTGAGATCAACAATTCCCGTAGTTAGATTGATTGAAATATTTGGTAATTCTTGCTATTAAGCATGATCTATGTAGGAAATAGAATTTTTATGATATACTGTATGACTTCGCTAAACGCAAGGCTCGTAAAGTAAATCAGTACGTAGTAAAGAATGAATATAATTCAAAGACGAATTTATTTTCTAATACAAACTCTTAAATTTTCACTTGTTATCCGTATCCCTACCCAAACTTGGCCCCGAGAAATCCGTTTCGCATAGGGCTCTACAATGGTTAAGTCCGGCCCTGCTATTTTGTGACGACGTTTTCTTCCCCTCCCCCTTCTTGTTTTCTCGTGGACTATCCGCAGAAATAAGAGAGTGATCTTTCCTTTACTTCTTCTTGAGGGAAGAAGAGAAATATATATTTAGATTGGTGAATCTCATGCCCTTCTAAAGACATTTAATTTGTTTTGTTACGAACACATCTCTTGCTAACACACACACACACACACATACACAAACAAACACACACAACAATTACGAGAACATGTAATATCTCTTAACGCTAGACAGCTGATTAAGTCAACACATGGCATCTCTTAATACACTTGACATAATTTTATATATACAAGGACATCTATTTATACATACACACGTCATCTCTTTATACCTTCATATGACATCTCTTTAAACCTACTAATGACATCTCTTTATACCTACACCTTTCTTCTCATCAATAGTGACATGACATCTTTTACATGTGACATCTCTTAATACCTACATATGAGTATGACATATTATTATACCAAGTGTGAACACTACACATTAATTTACTTTTTTCTGACGACTATTTCCCTAGACTGAAAATGGCCACACCGGTTCCGAGTTTTAAATTATATCCACGGGTTTGTAATAAAAGAGCTTTATTTTTTTATTTAATGTTGTTGTTGTTGTTTTTTGTATATTTTCTGCTATCTGATCCACGACACGTGTGTTCAAATGACCCTTCGGTGGAGTAAGGTTTAACATCACTGTTTTATCTAATTAATAATTGAATTTAACATTATTTCATGTACCTTGTTGTTGATATTACCTAATTTCTAAACATCGAACCGAACCCGAACTTTAGAACTGACCAAACCGGACCCGAACTTTAAAAGTTGGGTTCGATTTCTATCTCTACTTTATGTTTCCTAGAATCTATTGTCATTTCTTTAGTTTTCTAAACATTTAAAATTAGAAAGTTATCTACTCAGATTGATTATGTAATACTAGTAAACCCGCGAAGTAGCACACGCCGCTATTTGCGGGAAGTATTCATGTAGGCAGAGTAGTGTCGAGCAGAGTGTATGACTGTGCTTCCGTAAATAAGAACAACGGCAGGGCGTCGTCAATGTTTGCAAACAAAGCTTACGGCTTTGCAAAGTTCGAGAGCAACAGTTTCGTCGATGACATTTAAACAGAAATATGCGACTGATAGAAACAAACAGTTTACCTGATGCAGGAATTATGAATACATTGAAAGACCTGTTGGCTCCACGAAAAATATATGAAGTGGTGGCCATGGTTAGGAAACGAAGGGCAATACGAATGGGTTAAAGCAAAACAAAGCTACATAAAACAAGGTTACAAAGAGTGTTTGTGTGGGCACACAAACTCAAAATCGGTCTCCGAAGTGGTCCACCTGGAGACACATGGACAGATCTAGAATTGGAAGAGGATATAATATATTAGGCTGTAAAAAAAATATACTTTAAAAAATCATCGAAAAATGCATATCTATTTTACTGGATATGACGCACACAAAAATGTCGAAATATTTATTTTAGTAATAAAAAATAACATAAACCAATGTCTCAGCTGCATTTTGAACTCAGGACCTTCTGCATGCGTGTTTTGCAGATGTGATAACCATTACACTACGGAAACACATATCGAAATGAACAATACTTATGAAATCTTTCCTTATACTTTCAGTTTGACACCAAAGGTATGTTACTAAATAGTATCTTCATTGTCATTTGACATACAAAGACTAGATTCAAGATTGAAGTCTAATCCTAGATCTAGAAATAGATCTAAATCTAGATTCAAGATCCAGTGGCGTCACTAGAGTGGGTGTCACACGGCGCAGTCATCTCAAGGTGTCACCCCCCCCCCCCCCCTTTAAAAATTCTTTTTTTTTTCGTTTGTTTAATGCGCTGTAATACATATAATGCATAATTACCTACGTTATTTGATTGTTCAACAATAATAAAATGAGTGTCATTTAAATTTTATAAATCAGTTGTCGATAACCATTTATCTATAGTTAACTGGGTTTGCATAGCATTCTTACTCTTTGGAATCGAAGACATCGCCATTAGTCTATAGTTCAATTTTGCAAACAATGCAACCATAAGTGAATTACACTGTTTTTTTTTTTCTGGATTTCAAACTTGAAAACGTATCATGATGTTAATTAAAGTTAATGTCTTTAACGATCTCAATTTTAATGAAATCCCCCTTTGTGAAAGTGTCGTTTGTTCCTTTATCTCAAAAATGTTTTAATTTTAATATAAAACACTTTTTCACATGACGCCATAGATAAGCGGATGAAACGGTTGAAGGCTTTGTTAAATGATTTAGAGCAGGGGTGGGCAACCTTTTTACTATCAAGGGCCGCATTACAAAAATTTTGGGAAATGGGGGGCCGCATATATATTTATATATACAACTTACAAAAATGCGCTAGCTACCTGTGCATACTATCTTTCAATTCAAATTTATACTGTATTATACATTTAGATTTCATTTTTTTTTTACACTCCCAATTGAGGAATTACAAGAGTTAGCAATTTCTGAAACCAATTTTACTAATTTAAAAAAAAAATTGTTATCGTCTGTTTACATTTCACCACAAATGAACTGTTGTACTTAATTTAAAGTTTTTAACTTATTACACTCATGCATAATGTTCGGGAACTGTGGAACTAGCTTACTATTTGTTATCCTCGTGACTGCTTTCAAATTACAAGCAGTCAGCATTGACCTGTTCTTATTCTAGTTTATTTTCAAACGAGAAAACTCTTGTTCACAAATGAATGTGAACCAATATAATGTGAAAGTTTAGCGTCAACTTTTTTAAAGTGTGGAAAAACAGCTTTGGCACCCATAAAACTCCCGCGGAATAACTGAATGGAACTTCTCTTTCAGGTCATAATTTGCTTGGAGGTATTTCCTTTAGAGCTTAATCAGCTCCTGCAATAAATGATGAGCTGAGGGTATTGAAAACTAGTTCCCAGTTTTTGACGTCTTAAAATTTGATTCCAAGTTCCACAATCAAAGAATTGAAATAAGTCTTGTACTTTTCAACCATTTCACTTTTAGCGAAACAAACTGACAAACCTGTTTTCACATGCTTGCCTGTAGAAATGGGATAGCTTTGTTTGAAAAGACTTAACGTGTATCAACCTGCTGATGAAAAACATGAAATCTGTCTTTCACTCTTCATTAGAAATATTAGTAACAACGTCACAGTCAATCTCCTTCAAGGGACATAACAATTTCTTTCGTGTGCTCGCATATTCTTCTCTATACCTTGGCCATGCTAAGCCAGAGAATACTGCTGTGATACCAAACATCGGAATGTTTTGTTTCCAATCTTCAAGTACTTCTAGGAACTGCCTGTGGTTGAAGACCCCTGGCACTGATAAGTTTGATAACTGAGATAAATAAGTTAACAACATGTCTGATATTAAATGCATCTTGCTTTTCTTTAATTTCTTTAAAAAAAACTATTTTGTCAGCTAAAACACGGTCTCCATCAGCTGTTAACCCATGTCAATTCGTTCCAAGCTAACCAAAGACTTTCAACACAGTTCTTCAAGCAATGCTAGCCCACGTGGAAATGTGTACCAGATAAATAATGTTACGAGTTGATTCACACTCTGGTTAAGACTGAGTCTGTCTTCCTGCAATAGAATCTAACAATAAAACATAATAAAAAACAAATGTCGAGAGTGAGGAGGTGTAGTGGCTGATATTATTTAGTATATTATTTATTATGTAAATGTGTGCAACAATTATTTTGTTTTAGGTTAGGGTGGATAAATTATTATTATTAATATTTTTTATTTTAGCATTTAATGAATAAACATACATTTTCTTGCTTCAATCTGAGATATTTATGTTTTGTTCCTTTTTCAATTTTAGCTTAAATTGAACACGAGTGTGCAATGGGATGTCAAATATAATTACAATGTTTGTATTTTTTAATCAACAAAAGTAAGTCTTGTCTGTTAAAATAAATGTATTCCAGTATAGTAACTACTTCGTTTAATTTATTTAAAAGAAGGCTCCACGGATTATGTAGAGAATAACTTTCATGCCATTTATTCTTTAAATATTTTTCAAACCAAAACTTCTATTTTTAAAAGCTACAAAAAAGTCTCAGTTTAAATGATGCTGTCATTTCAGTGACTTTGTTCAAACAGTGGAATGTTCGTTAGTCCGACATTTATCAAAATATTAAAACTTCAAATTTTTTTAGTGTTTTCCCATGATGTTATGAGAGTGTCTAATCAGTTGTTATTTTTACTCGCCCAAGAACGCAATGACCACTGCCACAGTTGTCGCTAACTACCGCCTCTCAAAGAAAAGCCAACTAAACTACGTTTAACTTGACACCTTTGATGTCCGCCGCTTTTAAAAATACATATGTTTTGTTATTAAAACACAAGCTAGACTTTATTTTTTCTATTAAAAATAGTTGACACTCACTCCGTCTTTAAACACTTGTTCAGTTTTATTTTTCAAAATGATAAAAGGTTTTAGAATCAAAGATTAGTTTATTGTGTATTATTGATTGTGAGTATGTTAATAGTTTAACAGTCATTGAATGTAGCACCAAAATTAAATCTTAATGGCTTCATTGACGAATGCATATCTTATTGTTATAGTTGTGCTACTTGATATAAAACTCTGAGAGGGCATTAAAGATTTAGTTTGAATCTCAAAGTACACTTTATTTTTAATTTAGATTTGAGCTGAAGTGTGTATACATTGAAACCTTGTAGATGTAAACGTCATTACATCTTTCGGTTGTGGCTCGTATTTGACTTAGCCCACATATCTTAATGAACTCTATAGTAGAGTCATAAAGAAAGCCAGTAGTTATAGTTATAATATTATTTTATTATATTTATTTATTTATTATTACTTATTATATGTATGTTGAGGCGCAGTTGCTGAGTGGTTAAGCGCTCTTTGTGTTTTTTCTGAGAATTTAATTAGATTATTTTTGTATTTGAAGACTACTGTTTAATGATTTATGTATAATTGCTAATTTACTTTTTAGTCATCTTTGCTGAATGCTTTCTAATTTAGTAATTTTACTCTTGCATGATTTGGTTTGTTATACATTAAAGTATAATTATTTGAAATGAAACCTTCAGAATCTATGTGTCGCCATTAAGATAACATTATAATTATTTTTATTAAAGATAAAACAGTATTACTATTATTATTATTATTATCATTATATTTAGATCAACTATAAGGAAAAACATCTTTAAAAAAGCTGAGAATCAAAGCGGGCAACTCTGAAACAGATCCGACCTTCCCAAGTTTTGTATGCAGCAGGCTTTTCAAAACCAAGTCTTCACAGCCATCTTCGATCTTATAGGAAAGAAGATTCATCTTCGACCAGGAAGCATAATTTATTGAAGAAACGCAATGTGTACTAATGTTAAAAATCAGGTGGGAGCTTGCTAACATTTCAAAGCTATGGATTCAGAAGTCTCTGTCTTCAATAAATTTGGTATTGACAAAGTATGTAACTTAAGAAAATAAATACAAAAGTCAAACACACACACAGACAAAAAGTATAAATTGATTATATTTTTTTATTATAGATATATGCTTTGTTGAACAAAAATGAAGTTTAAAAATTTAAAAAAAAAAGTTAAAAATAAATTTCTTATGCTGCTTAAATAGATCAACCGAATTTAAATGTTTAAAATCAATTTAGTTTACAAAATAAAATGTAATTATTTCTGTCTTCAATAAACGTTCGTGTTTCGTTTTGAATATGTTCTTTTTCTCGTTCCACCTATGTCTGGTGTTTTTACATCTACATCTGGTGTTTTTACATCTACATCTGGTGTTTTTCTATGTACATCTGGTGTTTTTACATCTACATCTGGTGTTTTTATATTAGCTTTTGGAGCTATTCTTCGTTTTGCAGTTGGTGTTTTGAAGTGAGAACCGGAAGTATACAAGTGTGTTTCTTCTGTTGATCGGGGATACATGCCTGCTGGTGTTCTCATGTCTGTTGTATACGGGACTAGATTTACCTCAGACCGTGTGGCTGTTGGAACTGCCATGCTGCTCAATGATGAAGACAGTAAGTATGTCGGTACAGGAGAAGACATAAATGTAGCACCCAGTGATGCCGCATTAGGGGATTGTGTCGTCTTGATGGCAGTCAGCGGCGATTCATAAACTGCTTGCGATGGTGCTGAGATTTGTGGTGCCGATTGCACAATGGTGTACGGTGCCAACGACAATGTCAAAGGAATGTTTTGCGGTGGTACCATTAAATTAGTGTATGGTGCTACACCTGAAGTCGTGTTATGTGTCGAACCCGACATTATTTGAGGTTTGGGTGATGTTGTCCAGGGCTCAGTCGGGTCATTAGTTTGTGGTAGAGCTGGTGCTGTTAGACTTGAAGTAAATTGTTCTATGCTGTTTAATACCGTCTTGTTTGCTACGGTATTTGATGAAGATGTCATGCAGGGTGAAGCTCTAATCAATCTTTGTGCAACTGACTTGCCTCGACGTATAACAGGTGGCAGTGTCATGTGATAAGCACAAAATTTTTTCATCGGTGTTGCAGGTGGAGAGTTGGCATCACTTGTGTGGTCTGTATGTAACAAATGTTCTGTAGC